AGAGGACAGGAAGTCCTGAAGGAACGTTGTCCATGGGGTCCCGATGGGTCGGACACGACTTTGCAACTAACAACAACATGTTCCAATCATTCTATTGTTAGATAACAGTGTAAAGTTAGATAACAATCAGGGGTCCTCAAACTTTTTAAATGGGGCCAATTCACGGTCCCTCAGACCAGCTGAGTAGGTGTGGCTAAGTGGTCATATGACTGGGTGGGCGTGGCTAGGTGGTCATGTAACTGGGTGCGCCTGGTCAATATAGTAGTCTATTAAACAATACACACAAATTAAACTTTAATTTGTTATGCTCCTTGGGGTGGAAAGCAAGTTAGTGAAGGAATGTAGCTGCTTTGGGGGAGGCTGTAAGGGACTTCTATTTGTGTGTGTGTGTGTGTGTGTGTGTGTGTGTGTCTGTCCGTCCTTCCATCTCTCTCTCTCCCTCTCCCTCCCTCCCTCCCTCTCTCTCTCTCTCTCCTGGGCCTCTAGAACCACTCTGCCGCCCCCAAACAAGCCTGGTTTTAGCCTTCTGAGGCTTCTGCGTGTTCCGTTTTTGGCCTCCTTAGCCTCCAGAAGGTGGGTGGGAGCCGGCAGGTAAGTGGGGCAATGGGCAGGGCAACCTCATGGTCCCATGTGGGCCGTATTAATGGCTTCAGCGGGCCGTATTCGGCACCCGGGCCTTAATTTGAGGACCCCTGAATAACAAGATCTTCTTTATGTTCCTAACTTGTCTAACAAGTTATGGAACTTAGTAAGAAATATAAAATATGTATGCCTGCCAAAAATGAAGGTATTATCATGATTAGACCACTGATTAGGTAACTTATGTTTCAATATCTACTTACAAATACAAACTTTAAATCCATACTTACCAGAGTGTTTCCAGGATGCTGAGGAAGCTTCCTCATAAGTGCATCTAACTCATCAAATTTCTTCAAAACTGCATGAACTTCGGAAGACAGTTCTTTATATTCAGAAAACTGATCATTAAATACAGCTTTATAACGGTCTCTTTCCTCATTTGTCTGAATTGCTGGGTATTTTCTATAAGCAAACAGTTTCCAATCAGTGCTACGTCAACAATTCAGTAAATTGTAAAAGTGTGTATTATGGAATACTGAAAATTTAACTTTAAAATGTGTAACATGGGAAATTCTTTACAGATTATTAAAAATTGCATCAATAAGGCTAGAATCCTTGTTTTCCTTAGCATACAATTTTTGGATTGGAAAAATCGGGACAATCACTTATCTGGAAAACATTTGGCGCAATGGACTGGATCAGATATTTTAAACATTCGGATAAATTCATGGATTTGCACATCATATGATTGAAGTATGATCTGACAAAGTGACCATTGGTTAAACCCTAAGATATTTACAAAGTAATAGTCACATAAAGATTAAGACAAATCTAAACAAGCCACATTACAGTTTAATATGTCTGACTCCAAAGCTTAATAAAATTAAAAATCAAAATCAAAAGTGTACCTATTTTTTATATAAATTAGGAAAACTTCTTCCAAGCTGTGGCATTACAACTTAAACAACAAATGTCTCAGGAAGAGAGCCAGTTTGGTCTAGCGGTTAAAGACCAGGCTTGTGAGACTCTGAGTTCTGGTCCTGCCTCAGCCATGAAAATCAGCTGGCCAATCTTGTGCCAGTCACTAACTCTCAGCCCAACACATCTCTCAGGGTGATGGTTGTGAGAAAATAGGAGGATAAAGATGTATTGCATTTGTACACTACTTCTGGGTTATTTATAAAAATAAAGGTGGAAAATAAAAGTAAATAAATGGTGAATAACAGACTAACCTTCACTAACCTTCACATAGTTAAACTATATTTGTTGGATTTATATATTGCATTTTTAAATCTTATAATGTGCCTTACTTATTTTTAATGTATTATTGGAATCAAGCCAGTGTGGTTTGGAAATTGTGGTTTAGGGCTTAATGTAATGGTGATCTTAAACACTGTTTGCATACAAAAATACATATACTTACGCCAAGTAATCTGGCATCACTATTGGTTTAGGAATATGTCCTGCTGGTATATGGCCATTAAGTACTTCAGGCTTCATTTCTGTAACCTTCAGTGTCTTTATTGCTACTTTGGATGTGTCATTTTCATGATCTTCATACTATGTAAAAAGAATTTTCAATTTTTTTACTTTTGCACAAGTTTGTATTAAGTAACTTAAACTACAATTCTCTAGTGCTAGTTTGTTGAAATGAGCAATTGTGTTAGATACTCTAAATTCATTTGGACAAGAAATTTTGCAGCCAAAATAATACCCCTGGCATCTTGTATAATACTGTTGTTACAGAGGCTTAAGGTACTACCTAGTGACCTACCCCAAACCATCTCATTTGAACGATTTGGGAAACAAATTATACTTAAAACTTTTGAAAACTTTCACGTTGCCTCCTAAAATATTTCATGATTTTCCATTGGGTTTTGCAGATGGCAATAACTGCAAGATACTGCTGTAAAAATTCAACATCAGGAAGGGAAATCATTAACTGGAAAATAAGGTGGTGTTAGTAGTAGAACACCAAATCAATATTTGTGAATTTTCACTAAAACAGATTTTTTTCTTTGTAAGAATTAATATTTTTTTATGTCTTTTTGAAGCAGACACTTTTGTGAAATAACTCAAATTCAGTAACTACAACATAAATAGAACATATGTAGTTCTGGTTCTTACCATTCTCTTTGGTGCAAATGATTGTGAATTCATCTAATAAAAGAAACAGAAATAACAGTATTAAATGTATACATTCATATTGTAACTGCTGATAATGCTATTTTGCAAATTCATTTCATTTTGTATTGACAGAATATAGATTGTAGTGGTGTGTACGCCTTTTTTAAACTCTGCAGAGAATTAGCATGAAAACAAATTATCTTCAAAAAACAGATGGTACTTTAGTCTGCAAGTAGAAAAATATTTTTATTTAGGCAGACTTTTGAAATGTTAACTGTTTTTTCCCATTTTATTTATTATTACATTTATTTGCTGCCCATCTCAAGGACCAAGGCTACCCTGAGTTGTTTTATTGTTGTTTTAATGCATGTTTTGTTTTAACCACAAATTTTCTATTTTTTATTTTTATTATCCAGTGCTGCTGTATTTAGTGACTGATAGATAAAGAAGTGATTTCCATAAAGCTTTACCTACATAGGAATTGAGAAAATTGACATAATAATTAAATGCTTGTACACGGAAATTAAAATGGTTGGAAATCTTTTGATAGCAAGTTTATGGATATCACTTTCTAAAACCAGAGAACAATTCCATGAAAAAAAAGTTGTGAGACACTACATGAAAACTCACCTAGAATAATCAATACATATGGCTTATGTTTATAGTTCTATTTTAAAACATCTTTGGTTTCAACAACTCTTGGCTAAGAACTCATATATAAAGCAACAATGGCAAGTTTACTAGAAAAATCCAGTTACTTTATCTACTTGGTTCTGAAGGTACTTATATTTTGCTTTCATATATCAATGCAGATAATTCAATTTTTTTATTTTGCAGATTACCCTAAAATAAAATTTGAAGGATTGCTATGAGAAGAAGCAATTGCAAAGGAAATCTTTTCTGCCTTTCCCTAATCAACACATTACAAAAAGTAATGTGTGGATTACCCCTTTACTGAAACTTTTCTAGGAATCTGCAATGATTGAAAATGTTCCTTAACTTTTTAAAAACTCTATTTCTCCCTAGCAGTCTTTGATACTTTTTTTCTGAATCTTAAGAGAGAGAAAAAATGAAGGAAATAAGCTTTATGGAAACAATATACTCCATCATTCATTTAGAAACACACATAAAGTACAATTTTGTGGCTGTGCTTGAAACTTACCCGCTCTTCCATGAACTCTCTGTGTCTGCGTGCAGCTTCATGTCTCCATAATTTTAGGCAAACTATTGCACTGATGAGATATATAATCATCGTTACAAACAAAAAAATAATTCCTGCTGTCTGTCCACCTTCTATACGGCAAAAAGCAGCATTCAATGGTGTATTAAATAATGAATATGAGCAAAGTCCTCCTCTGTTTGCATCATTTACATAGACAATAGCAGCTGACATATATAAAATAAACAAGGCCACATTGATTCCAAATTCAGTTAAAGGCCACCAGTGGGAATCCAGAAGAATAGTTCTGTAGTACATTGACATACCAAGAACTAGAAGTATGATAGTCACTATCCAAACAAGTGCTGCTACAACAAGAACAAAAGCAGTTTTGGGTCCACTGTAATAATAACCACCATACATGCTGTTTGCACCATAGCCATATGGTTGTGAAAAGCCATACATGTTGTACCACTCATTGTCTTTGTGAATGTAAGCTGTGATACAGGCAAATACAGCTGCACCTAAGAGCAGTTCAACAACAGCCAAGATTCTAAGCAATCCTGCCCAAGATTTCATGTAGGAATATCTCAGGTTAAAAGCTTCTACTTTCTCACTGTATGTCAGAGCCTGAGTGTGCCTTCCCAGAGAGCCATATGGATCTGCAGGGAGAATACCTTCAGCTTCTTTTCGTGAATTGTAAGTCCCTCCTGATCCTCCATATGGATCTTGATAAGAACTTGGTGTTGAAGTATGGTCTGCTTTCACTGGAGTAAGTGTTGGAGATGATGGGGGAGAACATTGCGTTCCATCTGAAATGGCAGATACTGGCTTATTCCATTCTGGATCACTTCGTTTTCCTTTGAAGAAGTTTTTCCATGAATCAGGAATGAATTTTCTCACTGGTTTGAGATCAGGGATTTCAGCCAACTCTTCATCCTCGCTTGGATAAAATTCAGGTCCAAATGGTGGCTGTAATGGAAGAGGCGGTGGCAACGATTCCAAATTTAATATCTCCTCAGCATCTTCTGGGGAATCCACATATGCTTTATCATAATGGACAGAACGACTTTCCTTCCCACTTTTGTGCTCCAGTGATGTATTCCTTGAAGACATTTGTGACCTCTTCCCCTATTTTGGAAATAATAAAATATTATTTTATTAATTTTATTAATATTGTTTATTTTTAATAAAACATTTTATTATTAATAATAAAAACCCTGCAAATTGGTGACAAATAGTTCAAGTGAAGGTTTAAAAAAAGGAAAGCCAACTAAATTTCTGCACTCAAAGCCAGGCGTGGGGGAAATCTAACATGCAATTATTGAGCTATAAATCCTCTTCCATAGTAAGGCAGTTGGGACCTGCCAACACACTTGGATTGCTTTAAATTTGATATTGGGTTTATCATAATGCTTGAAGCGTCCATGAAACCACAACAATAAAGTGTAATGCCTCATCAGTCAAAGTCCAGACTGCTACACTGTGATGCTTGGATAGTTTGAGAGAATCCAAAATATATAAACAGGAAAAAGCAACACAGTGGTCATAATTTAGAAAATAAAACAAGGTCCACAAGCTCTAATTCCCGAGTATTGCAGTGATTTTCAATGCGGGCTATATATGACCATATTTCTAAACGTTTGCCCTCATTATCATACAATTTAGATTAATAAACTGTGGACAGAAAACCAAACTGAACCTTCTCCCCCCCCCACCCACCTAATGACCAGATCAACTAGCAACACTGAAGGGTTTATAGAGAGAGAAATAAGGGGAAAAAAAGATTTGAGAAATCCTGCCTTATCCACAGGTTGTTGAACAAAGTTTGTGCTGCCGTGAGAGAGGGGGGGGGAAGACTGGAGATATCCCACACATACGTAGCTACTACTTTCCAGCGTCAAAGTGCACTTTAACATCTACAACCTTAGACCTACATAACGCATTAAACTTACCGGGCCTTACTTCCAAAGAAATATCCACAGGATGTCACTAGGAATGCCCGAGATACACGAATTCCCACCCAATTCCGCACTGCTTCCCGTTTCCCCATCTTCTAATCCGCGCAAATCACGCAATTTGCGTGTATTGCCGCTACCACACCTTGCGCCCGCTCCGCCCTCGCCCCAAAGCCCCGAGCCGCGACCCCGCCAGGCTCGCCCGATCCGTTACTGCGGGGACCGGATTTACCTCCCAACTCCCCCCCTCCCCACCGCAAACAGACAACAAAGTGCCCCACTCACTCTTTCAGACAAAAAGGGCGGGCAGAAATATATCCCGCTACGGACGGAGGCGCAACGGCCAGAAAGACAATCCCGTTTCCGTCTCCCTTTCCCGGAGGCGTTACTTTCGGGGGCGTCTCAGCCGCAACCCATCGTTCCGCCCATCTGGTCATGCGCTTCGGGCTTCCTTCGGGCTGCGAAGGCTTCCCTCCCTCCCTACCTGCCTCGCTCGCCACAGGTAGGCCTGGGTAGGGCGACCAGTCGCTTGCTTCGGTTCTCTGCGCTGCGCTCCCGGCGGCATCCTCCCGTCCTCTTCAAATCGCAATCGGTGTTGAGATTTTACACCGCGGGGAACGAACCTGTTTCGAAGGACGTCGTCCACGTTTCAAAAGAAATAAAAACAAAAACCCTCGACTGCTAGGGCAGGGCAGCTTTACCGGCAAATGTGGATAAAGACTTGGGTTACTACCAGCCAGAAATAATTAGCAGTTGGCAAAAAATGTGAAGTGGAATAGGATATAGAATAGTCTCACCCAAGGGTCTCCAACTTCGTGGAAGTTTATTTAAATGGTTGCCATTGGAGATCCTGTTGGTTTGGTGGTAGGGTAGGAAGTTATCACCCAGCCGTCTCCCAGAAAAATGAAATATCTTAGGAAATATTGAAAAGGCAAGAATATTTCTCTGGATGTGAAAAGGAAGAAACATGTTTTATAAAGAGAGAATAGCTCCCTGTAGCTTCCTGCCCATCCCCACTTTGTCAATGGGCCATTAAGAAGGGATAGTCCACTTTACATAATAAAGACTTCTCCCCTTCAGCTCCAGGGGATGGGATTAAGGCATGATAATATTGGCCCTTTACCCAACTCATGGCATCTGAGAACTCAACCAAACCTGGATTCAAAACGCAGCCTAGAGAGTTGCCCCTGCATGGCATCATGGGAGTCTGACAACCAATCAGAATACAAGATCAAGATCAAAGGCCAGAGGGGGATAAAACCAGGGACTCAGCATCTCAGCCCTCTCTTCTCTTCTCCACCAACATTGAAGCATGTGATCACCTTTTCTGTTCAGGACTCAAGCCATGTGGTCCTGACCACCATTAAACCATCTTTACAAGCAGCCTCCATGTCTCCAGTGTCTTTTTCCCCACTTGGAGCCGAACCCAGAAGGACATTTCTTTCAACAATAGGAAACAGAGGGTTTAAAAAAAAATTAATTTGACGTTTTAGAGAGAGAGCATAAAACATATTTTTTTAAAAAAAATAAAGTTCTAATAAGTAAACCAAGAAAATGTCAGATATTAGTTTTTCCAATCTATTATTACTTATGAATTACAGACTGTGTTATCTCTCTTATTTAAAAGATTAAAATTATCAAATTTTGAGCCAAGGAGCTGTTGGTGCAAAGCAGTATCTGTCACAGGGGAAAAAAAGTAAAAGACATTTTTTCAATCAAAGTGTCAAGTAAGGTAGGCTGGCTGTCTTCAGTGCATGGGCACAGATAACAGCTGTGGTAAGTGATTTGCCTACTTTTGTCTGGTGCTGTAGCATCTCTGCTGCATCACTTACAGTTCATTTTATGCAGCAAAGAAGTGCTTTGCTGAAAACTAGCTTGAAATGAAATGCCATATTGAGGCATTGCATAGCCCTAGCAGTCAGTCATAAAATGCATGATTCGTCAAATGTGCGCCCGACAAAAGCGCGGCAAGAAACCTGCGATGTCGAAAGCACTCCCACAAAAGAGCGCCGACAAAACCACGGCCACAAAAGCGTGATTAGAGTTAAGGTAAGGGTTAGGGTTATTACATTTTCGTTGCTTTTTGATGGCGCGCTTTCGTCGGCGCGCATTTGTTGGCATGCTTCTGTGGGCACGATTTTGACCTCACGGTTTTCTTGCCGCGATTTTGTAGGCACTGTTTTGTTGAGCGCGCATTTGTCGGTGAACCATAAAATGCATGTTTTGCAGAGAGCAAACTGATAAAACTTAGGCAATTAGTGCATCTGAAAGTATTCTTGCTAATACAGATTACAGTGAAGGCAGATACTTCCCTTCATACACTGTGAAGTAGTTGTGTCAATGTCAGCCATGAATATTAGGATAACATGTGTCTAATTAAAACTGATTTATTGCTCATGCCTTTGGAAAGGATTCTACTCAACTAATGGTTAGTTGGTGCAAGATAAGGATTAATGGAACTGGAGGGAGGGGGTTGAACTTAATCTGTTGTGGCTCTGTAGAGATTTTAGGCTGATTCCTCTTTTGACTTCACTCCCAGTTTCTGCCATTCCCCTTCCTACAGTTAAGTCTATGGAAGTAACAAACTCAGATGTCTACACTGCCCCCACATCTACACAATCAGCATTTAGTGTTATCTTCAATGTTCTTCAATCAATTGAAAGAGAAAGTCCAGGAAAAAACCTGTGAATCTTATAGGAAATTAAAAGTAAAGAAAAAGAATTAAAGAAATCACCTACAAAGATAAATATTCTAAATCAAATTAAACTTTTTCAGCACCAATTATCTATGTACATTTGGAAAACTAGAGAATAAATTGAACCAGCTTAAACAAAAGAACTTTGAACATGCTAATAAACTAGCAGGGTGGTTGGCTTATAAATTAAAGAAGGAAAGAGATGATTCTGAAACTTCAGGAGGGTGATAGTGATAACAGACATCTTGGCAATACAAAAAAACCCAGCCACATTACTCCCATCTGTATAGAAGATCTGATATCTCTTTGTAAAAAAATACAAAAGCAGAACTTGCCATGCTTTACAACCATGCAATATCAACTTATGAATGGATCAGTGTCTAGGCTAGAGATGTGGGAATAGACACCAGGGCTTAAATGAGACAAGGAATGAAGAAATCATTGGTTATAAATTAAGAGACGAAGTTAATAAATGATACATGTGATGAAGATTGGAAATCACTTCTTTATAAGAGTTGTGGTGGTGGAGTAGTTAGAACGCAGTACTGCAGGCTACTTCTGCTGATTGCCAGCTGCCAACAGCTCGGTAGTTCGATTCTCAATGACTCCAGGTTAACTCAGCCTTCCATCCTTCCAAGGTTGGTAAATGAAGACCCACATTGTTGGGGGCAATATTGTGACTGTAAACCACTTAGGACTATAAAGCACTGTGAAGTGGTATATATGTCTAAGTGCTATGCTATATGTTTATTTTCTATTTCTTTATTATCCTTCCTCCCTCCTTTCTAATAAATTATATTATTTTTACTATTGAAATTCTAATATTTAATACAACTATTAAAATAACTTACCAGTAAAAATGAATGAATTGAAAATAAAGTTCAGCAATTAACTTTAAAAAATATTAAAAATATTAAAATATTAAAATATTAAAAACTTTGTTATTGTCGTAAATCAGTGTTAATACTTTTCAAGTTACAATTGTCCAAACCATATGAAATAAAACATTTTTGTTTCAGAAAGTATAATGATACAATTTATTATTAAGGCATCCAGAGACTTATTTACATATTAAATATTACACAGCCCAGATTAAACATTTTGTGCAATGTTTCATCATCGCAATTTATATCTAAACTTGTGAAACAGTAACAAAATAGTTGACAATGCCTTCAGTATCTACAAGATAAATACAAGTATAAAATATCAAAGTAAATATATTTCTTCTCATTTATTTCCATTATTCTGTATGGATGAGAAGCAAAACCTTGAGTTTTAACTGAAGCTTTTCAGTATAGGCTTAAAAATATAAAGACTCTGTACTCATTTTCCTCCATATTAATTGTTATTCATGACAAATTTTAACAGCTTACAGAAATAACAAAGCTATTTCTATCTTTCCTGTACATTTGAATATAAAATATGAAACAAAAGTAAAACTATAATTTAAATATTCTCACAGCTTTGGAATTCCTATTCATGTTATTCACTGTCATATTCTTCTATATTTAGGTCATCTGCTTCCATTATTGCTTGTGCTGCAACTGGCTGAGGTTGACTGGCTGGTAGTTCATTTTCATTACACTGACTAGAAGTAGGAAGGAATTCATCGAGTTCATTTTCCTTACTGTTTTTTATTTTCTCCCCCCGGACATGCAGAATTGTTGGCTGCTTCTCGGAAAACTCTTCATCATCATTGTCCAGGATTTGTATTGCAGAATCCTTATCAGTAAGAGTTTCAAGTTTCAACCTGCAAACAGCAATACATATCAGAAATGTATTCTTCTTTGGAGTAAACTAAGACCAAATTCTCTCATAATAATTTATCACGCTGGAATATTTGGACCAAAAAGGCGCTCCAGTCACTACTTAGTGCTCAGACAATTCATTTTATTGGGATTCTAGCAATTAACTGTTACAAGCTGCATTTCATCAGGGGAGAACAGTAGAGTAGGGCAGAGTGCTGAGAAAATGACAACCTTGGTATCTGTTCTGCTGTGTATACTTCTGTTTAAATAAATGAAAGTCAAGAGTTCTAGCATATTTTTCTACCTGGCAATTCTGTCTGCCAATCAGTTCAATCACTTGTGTGTGCCAGCAACTTGTGACATGAAATGGCAGAGTCTTCTGAGCTTCAACCGTGTTTACATTCCTAGCCAGTGTAAGGAAGTTGGTAATTCCTATTCCAGTTCCTTTAAAAAAAAACTAAAGAAAAAAAAAGCTGGGCCCATTGGGCCCATCTATGTCAGAATCATTATATAATTTCTAAAGAGGTATCCATCGCCTTACTTATTTTTCACTCCACAGATCCATCTGGGAACCAAAATGACAGGTGAAACAATGTCTCTTAAGAAAGCCTCCACTTAACAGGAGTGTGTTGTGCTAATCAGACCACCGAGTACAGGAATTAAATTCAAAACTGGTGTTTTTTAAAGTAAGATCAGTGGAGTCTTGGACAGATCCCAGTAGAATAAAGAGAAAACAAATGTTTTGTACATATAACTTATAACAGCAAGCTGGGCTGTCAGTTTGATGCCCCTTGTTTTATCAGATGGGATAGGTTTTCACTTTAAAAATCTATGTCAGGGGTTATTTGATCTTCATTTACTTGAGAGTTGGAGAATGGCAACAGGAGGGATGGATTCAATAAAGCTTTATGAATAATATCAAGATTACCTTCCAAAGTGATTTCTTAAAGGAAGTTTCCCAACATCCTGAATAAAGGTAATCTGAGCTGAAAAAGTCAAACAAAAATTATTCATAAAAGTAATTTCAATCTATATATAGAATGTACTTTGTAGCTATTTTAAAATATATTTCTGTTTTAGTTTGACTGGACAACTAGTCCTATCTTATAAAGTCAATATATGATAATATATCACAACTGATTTAGACTTTAAAATCTAAATCCTTTTGGAATTCATAAAAGGTTTCATAAGAGCAATAACTCACATTGTAACAAAACCCCAAATAATTAGTTCATACAAAACATATCAACAAGTTGTTGTCTAGATTAGAAGTATTTGTTCAGAAAACAACCTAATACATCTATTACTTCAAGGAAAGTTGTAAAATAACATTTACAACTTTTTTGATGGCTAATTGTATAATTATATACATATCAATGTTTGAACACAATAGCACTGACATCAATTTGTTTTACTCTCGAGTAAGTTGATATAGCATTGAAATCTAAAGCTCCCCTCCACCCGAAATGTACTTAGTTATTCCTGCTGGGATCTAAGCCAATCCCACTCCCACACACAAAGAGGTGGGAAATGCTTAGGCAGCTGCAGGAAGCAAAAAAGCTATTTTCTTCTAGCAGCAAATTCTCAGCCTGAAAAAAAAAAGGGCGGGGGGTGTTTGCTGGGAAAGGAAACTGGGCAGTAGTAGTTGTTTTTAATTCATATAAGATCCTAGCCAATACATTCAATTCACAGTTAATAACTGAAAAGACAACATGGTACTTCACTTCTCTCTAAAGCAGAGACATTTAATACATTCAGTGCCATCTCCTGTTTCTTCCTCTAGAAAGAAAAGCAGTATGGAAATAAAAATGAGTATTTTTTTTTTGTTCTTCTAGGGCAGTGGTTCCCAAACTTTTTCAGTCCACCTTGGTGCTACAAATTGATCCTCAGTGCCCCCCCCCCCCCAGTGGTGGAATTCAAATTTTTTACTACCGGTTCTGTGGGCATGGCTTGGTGGGCATGGCTGGGGGATTATGTGACTGGACAGTTTGCATGACAGTAGGAAGATAGTAACAGTAAAATTCAAAACTGTAACAATTAATTGCACATTTATTCAAAATCCAATTTAAAAACCTTTTTAGTTAATGTTAATTCAACAAAATTGTTGAACATGATCCAGTGATACCAGGTTTTCAAAGTCTGATAGTCATTTATCATGAACCGTAGTAACTAGTAACCTAGTAAACTCAATAAAATTTAGTAACTACTTCACTGTTCTTAGTAGATGATAATTCTTGTGTAGATATTGAAAGAAGTAATCTCAGTAAGGTATTATCACAAAGCACAAAACTGCAACAGATCTCATTAAGATATCACTAACTTACACAAAAAGATGTTCTTGTAAGAAACCCAAAATGGATAATAAATACTTTTGTCTTTTATCTAAAGTTTTTCATTTTTAGATCAATGACCTTAATTATTTTTTCTCTTCATCACAAACATACACATATACCAGGGGCAGGTTTCAAAATTTTTTAGAACCTATTCTGTACGTATGGCCTATTTTATGGGAATGACTTGGTGGTCATGTGACTGGGTGGGAGTGGCCAACTTGTAAAATGTGGTGAAACTAATTTAACAATGCTCTTGCTTAGCAACCAAAATTTTGGGCTCAATTGTGATCATAAGTTCTCTTTTCCTTCCTTCCTTCTATCTCTCTCCCTCTTTCCTTTCTTTTTCTTCCTTCCTTCTGTCCATTCTTTCTTTCTTGTGTGTCTCTTTCTTTTCTTCCTTTGTCTTCCTTCCTTCCTTTGTTCCTTCTTTCTTTCTTGTCTCTGTCTCCCCCAGTTACCTTTTCTTTCCTTCTTTTTTCTTTCTCTCTTTGTCTCTCTTTTCTCTCTCTCCCTCTTCCTTCCTTTTATTGTCTTTTACTCTCTCTCTCTCTCTCTCTCTCTCTCTCTCTCTCTCTCTCTCTCACCCCCACTCTCTCACACACATACATTCTGGTTGGTGAAAATTTGTTTTGCCAGCTGGGAAGTTGGCAAAAAAGTCTCGTTTTCCCTGCCACCTGCAGCTCTTGGAGAAGGATGAAGGGAAGTGAGCTCCAGGCCTCATGTCTGCCTCCTTCCTTGAGAGCTGGCTTCGGGGAAGCCAGCCTCTCCTGTCACTGCACCCTTCACTCACTTGCTTTTCGCCCAGAGGATCTGCCAGTGGGGTGCTTGCTATTTCATCTCCCGAGAGAAGCTTGGGAGAGACATGCAAACGGCCACAACTCAAGGCTCCTGAAGAGGATGCTGGATACCAGGGGTGGCAATGGCGCCAGCTGCTGCTCTTCTGCTGCTCCCAGTAATGCTGGCTTCTTGGAGAGCATTAAGTTGCAGGCGCACTGATTCCAGCAGCTGCATTTTCCCTTGAAATTTGCTGCCCCAACAACCTGAAGGGGACAATCTCCCAGCGGCATCTCAGACACTCCCACCCTTAGTCGCGAGGGAGTGAGGATGGCTGGGTACAGTTTGGCACCTCCCGGCTCCCCTCAGATCATCGAGGGGGCTTGTACGCCTGCTCGCTCGCATGGCCTGCGTGCTTCCAGCAGAAATGGGAAGCGCAGGGATCTTAATGTAGTAGGGCGGGGAGGCTGGAGCAGGAGGTTAAATAAACAAATTTGGCTTCGCTTCCTTGCGCGGCAAGAGAGAAGGTTGCCTGAGACGCTTCTGGGAGAATGTCCCCTTTGGGTTGTACCCTTACCGTTCCCCTGCCGCCTCCCCTTGCCTCTTAGGGCCCCCTAAGTCATCCCACCGCCCTCAGGGGGCGGTACCACCCACTTTGGGAACCACTGTTTACCCAGGCTTCAAGGTCGAGCTGGGTGTGAGAGCCGAATTCTAACTGCTATACATGCTGCTAGGCTATACAATTCAAAACATTTCATACTTTGTGACATAAGAATTGAAAATACTATTTACTTTTTAAGTACTATGATGAGTTGTACAAGCAACAATAGAAGCAATCCAGTTTACAGATAATATATATTACTTACAATTTTGGCTATTGTGATCAAACAGAGTAATGTCTGGTGCTCATTTGTTTTTTACAGAAACATTTGAAAAATGCAGAAAGACATATCTATGGTTTTGGCATTACTTGCAAAGTCTAACCCTTGGATTGTTGATCCCAAATATGTCAGGAATGTGAAACAACAAATCTTTCAGACATTTGCATTGGTTATTCATCTTTTATTTTTTTAAATTACTTACATGTGTATGGGATTTCTTGGAGTTTAATATGTTTACATTGTTAGCAGCCTACAGGGTGCGGGGAATGTACAGCATACAAGTAATATAAGTATAAATTATTTGATATATCTCATTTATGTTACTGAGATCTCTAAATAAACAGTATGAAATTACACTAAATAATATTCTGTTCTACGAGTAATTACTATTCTAAAGCAGAAACAGAAATATGAAACATTTTGTTTAAATATACCTTGGTTTCTCATTGGATTAGTCAGCATGGTAAGATAAGGTATTAGCTCAGTCTGAAGACACAATGGTGATAAACAGAAACTTGAAAAGAGGGATTTTGCAGCAAAGCAGTTTTCTTGATACTATGAGGAATCAGAAAGTATAAATCAAATATGCAAAAGCATATTTTCATTTTTATCCATTAAACTACAGAATTTTTATTTACACACACACACACACACACCCTAATAATCTGCATTTAACCATCTATTTCAATTTTATTCTATTATTCTGTAAAATTGTTGCTGCCTGATGTAATAAATACCTGATTAATTGCAAGATTCTAAATCTTCAAATTGTTTATTTTCTGTCTGACTGTTGATTAGTTTTCTATATATTACTTAAATGGGGCATTCCAATTTTGATAAAATTCATTTTTATCTAAAGGTAATATAATCTAAATGATGTTTAAGATCATTTTAATGTTTCAGAGGATACTGTAATGCAGAGGTAGCAAACTTGTGACGACACATCGCCACGTGATATATCAGCACTTTTTTACTTTGCTAAAATGGGAATGGGTGTGGCCAGCATGTGATGCATCAGGCCTATAGGCCGTGAGTTTGACACCCCTGCTGTAATGGATATATTTCTAAGATCAAAAAATGCTTCATGGTAATCCATAAATATATTTTCTCTAAAATGGATTTGTAGTTTTTGTACTGCTATATTTTACTGATTCATTTAAAATATCTTACTGGGCTAGTAAGAGCAGGGCTGTTTCTAATTGAAGCCTAAATATTTGTATGAATCCTAATCTTGCAAAAATGTTTATCATAAATACAAAAGTTAAGTCAATGTTACTTTACTAGTGATTCAGCCATGAGAGCAATAAAAATAGATTCTTACTTGATTCTATTTAGACTGATGCAAATAATATTAGTAATTGGGAAAAAGAAAATTGTTATCAATTACCTTTCTATTAATTAGGAACCATTGTGGTTTATGAAGAGGTCTAAAGCCCAATCCTCTTTTGCATTGTGCAAAAGCTCTGGCTCGATTTGAGTGCATCACACCTCTTGTGGCTACAGAGGCACTATACTTTTGAAGTGTAGCTCGTGCCTGTAGGAATTAGCAGAATTAAAATATGATATAAGAGCTCCATAATAGAATAAAATAAAATCAAGGTACAGAATAGAATAGAATAAAATCAAGGTACAGAGAACCATTAATTACTAGTATATTATAGGTATATATTAAACCTTGTTGAATAACAAATTGTACATCCCATAGAGTAGTCAAAATCTTGGTTCCATAAATATACTTGATTGTAGAAACATCAAGTTTTCTTCCCATTTGAACACAATCCAAGTAAATCCATTATTAAGGAAAATTTGTTCTGTTAAATCTAAAAAGCAAACTCTACTTTGTCATTAAAAACAATGTAAGGTCACACTTAGAATTATTTTTAAAACAGACAAAAATTGATATACTGCACAGTATGTCAAGATGGTGAGCAGAACGGTTCACCGACAAAAGGACGAACGACAAAACTGCACCCGACTAAACCGCGTTGCTGACGTCATCAACAGGGTGACAACAGCGCGGAGACAGAAGCACGCTAACCCTAAACCCTAAACCTACACCTAATCCCTAACCCTAACCCTAATCCTAACCCTTAACCTAACCCTAAACCTAACCCTTAACCTAACCCTAAATCTAACCCTAAACCTAACCCTTAACCTAAACCTAACCCTTAACCTAACCCTAAACCTAACCCTAAACCTAACCCTTACCTTAAGTTAAATCGGCTTTCTTTCGATGCGCTATTTAAAGCGCCTTTCTTTCTCCGCGCTGGCTGTTGTCGCTGTGTTGATAACATCAGCGACGCGGTTTAGTCAGGCGCGGTTTTGCCGTTCGCTCTTTTGTCGGGTCACGGAGCAGAACACTATCTGGCAAAACTTCTTGGGTGATACTGCCCATGTTATCTTTAAATACAAAGGCTAAAAGTTCTTAAAATATAGAATTATTCAGATTGTGGAGTTATTAATAAGCCGTGGTGACGCAATGGTTAAAATGCAGTATTGCAGGCTACTTCTGCTGACCGCTGGCAGTAGTTCAGCAGTTTGCAGTTTGATTCTTACCAGGTCAAGGTTGACTCAGCCTTCCATCCTTCCAAGGTTGCTAAAATGAGGACCCAGATTGTTGGGGGCAATATGCTGACACTGTAAACTGCTTAGAGAAAGCTGTAAACCACTGTAAAGTGGTATATAAATCTAAGTGCTATTGCTTTTCCACTCAATGCTTATATTTGTTATTATAATGGTTGTAAACATTGTTTGGCAGTAGAGAAAGGATTCTATCAGTTCTGACCCCAAGGCAGAAGCGGTGTGACAGTTGTATACCAGGAGACCTAGCAGTTGCAAGGAATGGGTAACAGATGTGAGATATTGCTTATGATGCTGGGTTGAAAGGACAAACTGGAGGTGCTACAATTGTACTATCCTTGCAGCTGTATAAACGCATTCCTCAAGCTGGCCAATATCATTGCTGGATTAGCTGTAATTATTAGCAATGGCAGATTGCACCATCGTCTCCATGGGATTAGAGACAACTCATGATTGCCATGATTGTTCCCAGGCCACAACACTCATGGCTGGCCATGTATTAGATCTAGAATTCATTCTGAACAGATATATTATGATATGATTCCAGATAAATTTTACATCTGGATCCAATCTGGGTCAGTTGTCAGGACCAGAGATTTAGTCTTCTGAGCTTTCAGACTCATGCTGGAGCCATCCTCAGGGAACTTCTCTCTCACTAAAATGTGCCTTACATCAGTCAAGGACAAATCTATTCCTCATAACTAGGTTAACTGAGGCACAAACCATGCAGAGATGAGGGGCCTACTAAGATTATCTGCCCCAAATATCTGATGAATCCAGCAACTTTTCTCATGGATGTTCCGTGGAATTTGTTGACTACTGTAGTACAGGGGCAACTAGACACATGAATGGATCATGCAGAGCATCTTCTATTTCTACCTGTGGAATCTCATGCAGTTCTTTACTTACTGAAGATTTTCATGAAACAACCAGGGCAAAAAAATGTCTGGAGGGATATGGACTGAAAACAAGCAAATGCGATTGAACAAAATAAGAGTCTATGGTTGAGCTTATTCTGATAAAATACAGTGAAGCATAATCATTGCACTTACTCCATAATCCTGGCCAACTACACTATTTAAAATGTTCCAGATCCTTTTGGGAAGGATGGACTGGAACACTTAGTCAATGTTTGACTAAGTTTTGATTACCTGTGTAAACATTTCATGGACAAATTGCCCACATTCGCTCTAACTTGGAAGCTGGACAGGCAGAATGTACTGAGAAGACAGATGTGATGGCCTGTAGCAATATCTGTGAGATTTTTAAGTCTCTAGACAGAGTCTTTGGAATTTCAGCTCAGCCTATGAGATTGAACCCATGCCCCACATCTAACCAAAGCAACAAGAAATGGACTGGGAGTTGGATGAGGTTTGCAATTAGGGCCTGTTGGAAAGACAGGGAGATGCCAGAGACCCAAGAATCACTAGTTTGCTCATAACTTAATAACATATTTGCAAACTGGACAACTATCACCTTATCTCTAAACTTTTCTCCTTTGAGTAATTCGGGGATTGTTACTGAAAAATTGATAGGTTTAAGGTTACAGATTACAGGTAGTCCTTGATTTACATCAGTTCATTTAGTGACCAAAGTTACAACGGCCCTGAAAAAAATGACATGATCGTTTTTCACACTCACGACTGCTGCAACATCTCCATCGGTATATGATCAAAATTCAGATCCTTGGCAACTGACTCATATTTATGACAGCTGCCATGTCTTGGGGTCATTTGTTCAGTTTTTGCGACTTTCTGACAAGTAAAGTCAATAGGGGAAGCCAGATTCACTTAACAATCATGTTACTAACTTAACAAATGGAATAGTTCACTTAGCAACTATGGAAAGAAAAATGGGGCAACAACAAATATTTCACTTAGCATCATACATTTTGGGCTCAATTATGGCCATAACTCGAAGACTACCTGTACTCTGGAAGATATGGAATATCTGGACTTTTGGCAGTTTGGGTTCAGATGTGTATGGGACTCAAACTGCATTGGTCACTCTCATGGATGACCTTGGATAAGGCTTCAGTGGAGACGATGTGGACATATTTCTCCTTCTAGATTTTTCAATGGTTTTCAATACTATTGACCACAATATTCTTTTAGAGAACTTGCAAGGGCTGTGAGTTGGTTTCACATTGCTACAGTCAAAAGACAGATTTACAATATGGAGGCCTGCATTCACAGCTTCTGCTTGAAGAATAGATAGAGGCTGTAGCCAAAAAGGCTTTTGCAGAGTTTTGCTTTATGAACCCGCTGTGGCCTTACGTAGCACATTCACGCCCTTGGTATTTTTTGATTAATGTACTGTAATTCACTCTATATGAGGCTGCCTTTGAAGAATTCCCAGAAGTTTCAGTTGCTCCAGAATATAGCACACATGTATTTAGTAGTTTATTGTAACACAGCCGTGTAACACTTATATTAGACAAAGAGCGTTGGTTACTACCGGTAGAAGGTTTCCAACTGCAATATAAGGCATGCTTTAAACATGGTTAGTTTTGGATTTGTAGATTTTTTTTTATTGCATTGATTTTTATTTAATGCTGAAAGCTGTGTAAAGTCTAGCTGGATTCAGGTGGTACGATAAATCAAACAAATAAATTAATTTGCACTATATGATGTAAAAATAGTTCACCTTCAAATGTACAAATATGTAAATAGCATCGCTTAAACCTACTTCCTGTGTATAATCAAACTCTGGGCTTTACTGTGGAATAAATATTACGAGGGATAATATTTTTAGATATATAGTAGAAATCATTAAAATATTTTCCAAATTATTCATATAGTATTAATAATTTCCCATTAATTACATATAATTAATAGAACCAGAAAAAAATCTCACCGGAATGTGTGGGTGTATGTATATATGTATGTGTGTATATATGTGTGTATATCTCTCTCCCTCCCTCCCTCCCTCTCTCTCTATATATATATGTGTGTGTGTGTGTGTGTGTGTGTGTGTGTATTTTTTTCTGGTTCTACTACAGTGAAATATGTAGACCAAATTACTTGCCAAATGAAGATGACAAAAAATGAATCTGGGAATCAAACTCGGGATAAAGTGATTCAAGTGATCCTTTTCCTTTGGAATAATCATTTTAGTGTTATTTTGTTGGCTTTCTTCCTGCTGTTAACTACAAACAATGAAGCATCACATTATAAACAAATGAATAAAATCAGATAATAAGGGAAAATGGAGGAAAGCTGTTCTAAAATGCACTCTAATATTGGAAAATAGCACATATGAGCTTATACCTTCAAAGGTGGGGGTCGCTATCTGTCTCTCTCAGGGTGTTATATGTTACAAATGACATGGTAATTGGAAAGGCAATCCTGCAAATATACCAGTGTCAAACTATGTATGGCTTTATAGATTAAATCCAGTAATTTGAATTGTATTCAAAAGCAAATAGGGAGCCAGGCAGGATCCACAGCACTGATTTTATTTGCTCATGCCAAGCAGTACCCCAACAGCTTTATGTTGGACCAACTGAAACTCCTGGATGATTTTCAAAAGCAGTTTCATGTACAGTTCATTGCAAAAGTCTCACTTAGTGATGATGAAAGCAGCAGTTACAGTTAGAAAGTCCTTATACTTATCCACTAACCAAAGCTCCCACCTGGACAGAGCTTCCATTTGCCTGTTAATTCAGGAGGCCTCACAAGCTGTAGACCTGCTGGTCCAGACCCACTGCTACCCTGTGTCTGGAACAGCTAGGAACTGTTCGCTTAAGTTATAGAGCAATAAGACTATAATATAATTAATGCTGTCTTATTTCTTTGTATGATTCCAAATTGTAAAAATTACAGTATGCAGGTCACATGTTTGGTTATATTTAAATATACATATATATAAACTTACATCCCAGTTAGTGCAAAGAAAATCTGCAGTACTTAAATATTCACTGGCTCTTACAATATCATCGACATCAGAGAAGAAGTCCAAATAATTCTGGTGAAGGTATACATTAAATAAGTCCCCAGGCATATGTGATTTTTCTATGACATCCTAATAAAAGAAAATATAGACAGAATATCATACCACATAGAAACATTATCTGTATTCCTTTAAATTAAGAATAATATTATGAAAACAGCAAACATTTTTACCTCAGGTTGAACAAGCAAGGGCTGTCGTTCATATTCTATTAAATGATGAGGTAACCGATGAAAGTCCACCTCTGAGGCCGGTTCTCCTATAAAATTATTTAAATGATAACTGTAGTTTCATAAAACATCAGTTGTCTGAAAAACAGAATCTTGGGAATGGAGACAGATATTTCTTCAGAAATACAGTTTTACAGTTCAATCCTGGCTCACATGATTTGCACTGCTTAATATGTATAGTGTTATCTACATTCTAAGTAATATATTGGAGAATTAGTCTGTATCAAAAAGGCAACACCTTTATTCTGTTGAAGATTTTCACTATTATACTTCCATAGGTTTTGTTTTTTTAGTAGCTACACAAAGTAATTAGACAACATCCTATTCCAAAGTGTCCATCTTTTGGGGTGAGTAATAGGTCCTGAGGAAGTCTAATGTGTATGATTATTGCATAGATGGCATTTTTAATACAGAGAGTACATGGCTATCTGCTGATACTATACAGTTAAAGCTGGTGAGGAAGCGATCTGCAATGTCAAAGAAAATACTTTGTAAATCAGGGGCAGAAGCCAGAAATCTTCAAAGCTGCAAAGTAAATAGCTTTAGGCTGTGGACTCAAAAACATAGCAAGAGTCCTGTTTTGAATCTTGAACTTAAAAATGGAGACTAACATATATAGATGGCAAGATTTAGATGGATAATTTCTTCAAATGTATGGCTGCCTTGTTTTCTATATTTTTCTCTCCATAAGACACACTTTCCCCCACCCAAAAATGGGTGGAAATGGTCTGGTCCTTTGGTGAATGGCAGCCGAGCCGCTGTGGCAGGGTCCTTTTACAGTGCTGCACCCCGCCTCTTCTGTCTCTTTTCCTCAGTGCAGGAGTCAATAGGCAGAGCTGGCACATGAGAGGACACCTATCTGTGGTCCTTTCAGGCTCCATCTGATATATTTTTTCTTGTTTTCCTCCTCTAAATCTAGGTGCGTCTTATGGTTAGATGTGTCTTATAGTGTTAAAAATACACTAATTGAATCTACTTAGTTCATCTGTATACAACTGCTCAGGAATGTAAAGAGGGGAAGCGTTAAATGGCTGTACCTCATATTGATAGGTGGGGTCAGAAGTTTTTATCTACTGATACAAATTACACAAGTTTTCTTACAATGACAGGGCAAGAACAAAAATTATTTTGAAATTTTTTTTAAGTTATAACAAATATATGTATATATTTAGCTACAGTCAAATTTAGAAATTAATAAAATAAATGTTAGAATTTTTAGATATAAAATACAATAAAGACAAGTAAATTCTCTTACTTTTGCAGTAAAGTATTTTCCCCAAAGCATGGAAAAGGAATATGGAAGCATCCTTGCTACCAATAGCTGGTATTTTTTGGTCCTCTACAAAATTATTGAATAAGGTTTTTTTCTTTATTTTAGATGATGTATCACATTTTAAAACAGAATTTTTCTTTCTTTGTGACCATAAGCTTTTCTCTGATGGCCTCTCTGAAAAAACCCAAGAGAATTAATAAATAGGAAAAATGGAAAACTTTGTCTTGAATAGAATAGTTTATTGGACAAATACGATTGGATACACAAGGAATTTGTCTTTGGTGCATATGCTCTCAGTGTACATAAAAAGAAAAAAAGAAAAAATAATAGAACTAAAAAACAACATAAATTTTACAGCAAAGTTCTGTCTAGAAAGTACATATATTACTTTTATTTCATTCTATTCTGTGTAAAAATGCATGCACATTTTGAGATTACTAAAAATATGTCTATATTGTTTTTAAAATGCTTTTAATTTTTCAAAAGTTTGAAATTCTTCCAAAGAACTGTTTTTATTCCATTATCTGTGATTTTGATTCTTTTAATTGCTTTTTTATGTACTGCATATGTGAAGAGGACTTTTAAAAATTTTTAGAAATTAAAAAGTCTTCCTGTATGCTTTCTTACGTTGTTTGAATAATTTATGGTATTGCCTACTAATATAATGGCGTGATACTGGCTATAATAATGTTACAAGAAATACATTTTTTTTAAAGAAATGTAATATCCGAAAGACATTATTGTGCAATAAGTGTAAAATACTAGAATCCCACATTAATATATCATGTGGGAATTTAGCTAAAATAAAATGAAAACTTAAACAATAAACAAGAATAGTGATAAAATAAAAAATGATAGGAAAAAAGAAAATATTTTTTAAAAATAAATCTGAGTTAATATAAAAATAACACTGCAATTTTAAGAATTCAATGAACTTAACTAGCCATAGCAATAGCACTTGACTTATATACCGCTTCATAGTGCTTTTACAACGCTTTCTAAGTAGTTTACAGAATCAGCATATTGCCCCCAACAATCTGGGTCCTCATTTTACCCACCTCAGAAGGATGGAAGGATGAGTCAACCTTGAGCCG